ACATAGTCGACAAGGTTCGACTAATGAAATGGAATTACCAACAAACCTTGATGATGACCATGTTAAAAGTCAATGTGAACCGGAGGGATCTTTACATTTTAAATGCCCCCAAATATCAAAATTAATCATCAAGGGACCCTGATTTTAATAAAAGTTCAAAACTCAAAAATCGTTAAAACTTAAAATATTCAAGATGAAATTAATCACTTATATACTTAAAATAAAATTTATCCACCGTCTCCAACAATTTGTAGAGGTGAATAAATCTAGAAATCACTTCAGCTTACAAATAGAGAATATCCAATCTAGAATATTACTAGAATTCATTTTCAAACAATCTCTTGCCAATTAGGACATGACACGGGTTCTGTAGCCGATGGCTTCGCTGCCACATTGCTTCACAGTTTAACGATTAGGACTGGGGCTCTTTGACCAAATGGTTTTGCTGCCAAATTGTACCACGAAATTATGGTCACAGCTAGAGCTCGCATGTTTTCTAATGATTTTAAATCTTTGAGTAATGAATCAATATGGTATAATCGATAGGCATAAAGCCCTTTGTTAGCTAAGGTGGACTCAAATATGTTCCCTTAGATAAATATTAACCCTAAATCTAGAAGGTATCGTTAGACGATGCAACCCATAATTGTCGACAATGTTCCTTCGGTCAGGTTGGGTCGATTAACTCCTTTAATAATTAGATTTGATACCATGCTAGTCTGGGATGACGGAACCATGGGATCTTGATTAGGCCCATCATCATTCCCCCATTGCTCATTTTAAGTGTATGATGATAAATTTCAGATCTTAAAAACCTTCGAATTCAATTTTTAAACCATAAAATTGCTGCTATTATATGCTGAGTACTCAGTGCCTATCTAACAATTAACCTTAATCGAAAGTGCTCGCTCGTTATCGGGAGGGATAATTAATCATAGGGGCTCGCCCTATGGAAAATTCCAGACCCCAGATCATAAAGTCCTCGCAAAATGAGGGTGAAATATGTGCGTAGTTTCTTATCTAAAACCTAATCTGCCTTGTAAAAATTTTCTCTGGAATTTAAACTCGTTAAAACTCTTATTGTCAACAAAAAAAAAGGTGTGGAGAGGTTGGGGTGTGAATTTTCGAAGCCCACATTTATCAATATTACCATCATCATCATTTCTTGTATCCTACTATTTGGGATTAGCTTTTTGAACCCATTCTTTAATTATTGTTGTTCGATATTGCATGAGGTGTTAAATCTATTTTGTGAAAATTTTCTTGCACAGTTTCTATCCATGATACTGTAGGTCTATGCCTTTTACCTCCTAATCTTTCCACATCAATTTTAGTTGCCCGTTTTATAGGTGTGTAACTAGCCTATTATCTAAATCATTAAAAATGTAACTTCCTGTTTACTTATCATCCTCTTTGCAAAAAATGTAGTTTCTATATAATCATTATAAGTATCACTATCACTTTTTCACAACTTAAAAGGATAATTTTTTTTAACAATTTTTTGTACCTTCGCACTCCATCGATTTGTCTTCTTGTATAAGATCTATTTTCAGACCCTCCTGATTTTCTTGCAACAATGTCAAGTGTTTAACAACATATACACCCTCCCTCTTGAAGTTTCATCATCTTATTCTATCCCATTTAATATATTTTTTATCATTTTTTGAATACTCCTGACTCGTTTGATATACATCTATAATCACTACTCTATGTTGTATGGTCAAACTATCTCTCAAAATCACCTTATAGTATTAAAAAATATTTTATTGTCTTGTAATTGAAAACAAGTTTATTTTTTATTTTATAATTTATGTTAACTATTGCAAGATCAGATGCAATTTTGAAGTATAATATAGTTTACCTTTTCATATTTCCATCTCTTAATCTCTCTTCAGATTAGATTCTCTTATATCCTATCCTTTTAGAACTTGCATGCTCGCAAGTCACTCTAACAATTATCCTCTTTTCTCGAAGTATACATGTATCCATCTTACAAAATGGATGTTCAAATTATGATTTCATCCAACTTGAAAATATGAACACCTAACACATTTATGATATTCTTTTTGATATTTAATTTAGTAGCAATCACTTTATCATTAACCTAATTCTTTCTAATAATTTTGTTTTCAACTCCATATCCACTATAATATCCTACCTCATTTCCATTATTAGCCCTTTAAAAATACCTCATTTTCATTATTAGCATTTCAAAAATACCTCATTTCCACTGATATGTAACTTATTATCTATGCACTTTTTTTGTTTCCTTTCCCTTTAGTTCTTATAAGTAAGCTATATTGATTTTTCTAGTCATAATTTTGCCCATTTTTTTGCAACAATTGTATTAAATTGTGGCGCCCACTTGCAAGTAACTTCTTAGGCAACCACGGCTTATTTTTTAATGCAACTATGTTAAGCTGTGTGAGAGGTGATATGTTAGCAAATGTTTGCCTATTTCTTATCACGTTCAGGTTAAATCATGGTGAGTTACTCTTCAAATTTGGATTCATTTCTTTCATTTTAATTTTGTATTAGTTTTATGATTAGTTGTCAATCTAACATTAATCCTTATTTTTTCTTATTCATGGGATTGATAAGATTTTATGGTTAGCAATACATCATTTAAGGTTTTTAAGTAATTGAAGGTTTTTAACTAATCAAGTTAAAGCTAATGATGATTATTATATCATATTAAGCTTTGGCAGGGACTTAGAAGAAAATAAAAATTGGTTTCACATTTGCAGAAGTCCTGTTCTTGATTTTCTATTTTTCCTACCTCACTACTTTATCATTTTCTATCAATTTCTTTTGCTAACTAGCTTCTGAATGTGATTGTGTTTAATCGTTGAGTAGTTGGTTATGATTAAATCATTTTATGTTTTACTTACTATGTTTTGAAAAACAAGTTTAGGCTACTTATTTTTTTCTATAGGTCCCAATGTCGTGTTCTATTTTACCTTTACTTTGAAAGTTTTTCTTGTTTTTGAGCGTGGGCATCCATTAACTTGGGTACTTAACTACACCATGGCTCATGGTACGTATAAGCCTTTTAACTTTGCAACTTCGAATTTAAGTTTGCATGAGGCATAGTAGTGAATATGAGATTCAATAAAAAGTTTCAAAGATCTGGTTAGAATTCCATGGAAGCATAGTTTGTCCAATGTAAGCGTAGAAGCTAGTGGGATGTATTTGGAAGCTGCCCATGCTTGAAAATTACATATGTTTCTCTTTTTAGGCAATCTAATATGATAAATAATGTTGAGAAGGTTTAGATCTGAGAAGATGATGTGGAGGATTAGGTATTTCAATTTTTCAATTAGAACAACTGGAAAATATGTTGAAGGTGAATATAGTCTGTCACAAGCTACACCGATATTAGACTTGGGAGTGAGGACACAGTATAATCATAATAGGACACAACATGTATTACATAAAAAGCAGGGGAAACATTTTAATTAGGAGCATCATTTATATATAATTAAGTAAAAGAAACTTAATTTAAAAAGGAGCAAAAATACAAATCTAATATGCTTTTTCACTTATAATGCAAATTCTCAGTAAAAAAAAAAAAACTGAAAATTGAAGAGGCTCTGCCTGAAAATAGCAAGTTAATATGTATAGGAATTTTTATTAAAAAGGATTAATTAACATATATGTTATATACAAAATTTGTACCAGTAATATTTTTAATTTCTTTTCGATTTGTTCAAATTTTAGTCAAATGGTTTAATTTAATTTTACTGTTTAATGTTATACTCGAGAAATTTAACATATTTATCTTCTAATAGTTTTATTTTATTTTTTTCTAATGCCAATCTAGTAATGGCAACCTAACATTACTGTTAATTTTAAGGCTATTTAGTGAATATTGAAAATTTAATTTAATAAATCTTGGAGGTGCTGAATATTGAAAATTATAATAATGAAAATTACTCGAGTTAATAGATATCAAATTTGATTAAATTTTAATTTTTTTTTTGCATATTTAATATATATTTTGTAGTTTATAAATAATATGAAGAAAATAGGCATAATACTAAATGTAAAAAAATTATCAAATATTTATAACATTAATTTTTATTAAATATTTATAACTTTCATTATATATAGAGAGATTTTACTTTTGTCTGGCAATTGGCGTTGTCAAACCATTGCCGATGCCAATTAATTTTGATGAAGATAGTGCTTTTCAGTTTTGGTTTGATTTTTATGATTTAAATTGATTTCGGCTCTATTTATAATTTCAAATTTATTTGAAATCAATCTAACAATTATTAATAATTTCCATTTTGCAAAAATTTTAAACATTTCTAAAAATTATGCTATAATTCTATCATTAAACCCACATTATATATATATATATAATTTAAAAGTTGCATTATGTTATATTTTAAATATTTTTTAATATTGATAATTAAAAAGTAGAATCAAAGTTAAAATGTTACTGATAAAATTATCAAATCTATTAAAACAGAACTTATTAGATTAAATAAATTAAAATTTAAAAAATTAATTTGCACATTTGAGTTTTGGGAGCTTTTGTTCACTGCCTCTATAAAATACAAACTTTCCATATAGCATGTATGTTAATCTTTTTTTTTATAAAAATTTATGTTAACTGTTTTTAGCCATGGTGGGTAGAGCCTCTCCAATTTTAGTTTTTTTTTTTTGCGTTTTTACTGAAAAATGCAAATATGATTTGTGTTTTCAATGAAAATGCAAATTAGATTTGGGTTTTCACTAAAAACGTAAATTAGATTTATGTTTTTGCTCCTTTCTAAATTAACTTTAAATTAAACTTATTTTACTTAATTATATTTAAATAATGCTCCTAATTAAATTTTGCTAAAAGCAGGATCAACAAAAAATTGGTTTAATTTTAATTATATTTAAGCTTTTATTATGTTTATTGTCAACAATGTTAACACTACTATTGATTATTAGGCATGATTTTGTTAATTTCAACATTATATTGCCCACATAAAATGCCACAATAATAAAAAAAAGGTTATATAACTTTTCAAAATGTCCAAATAAAAAACATAAAATAATAAATTGATGTATCACTAATTGAGCCAACACACTTGGCATCATTCCATCACTCCTAAGACCAATGCCCTCTTCCATAGAACCTTCACCGTCGCTTGTAAAAATATAGTTTGCTAAGCTAGCCCCGAAAAAAAAAAAAAAGACACTTCACCATCATTGTTTGTCACAATCGTTTCAGGGTGCATCCCTACTGAGTTAGGGTGTCTTGATTGCTTATTCGCGTTCAACTATAATTTTGGGAAAAAAATGTTGCAAACATGATTTTCAACTTGTCAAAGGCGTGCCATTGCCTTGTATGAGATGGGCGAATAAGGTTTTTGAAATGCCCATGCTTCATAGGTTAGAAGAATGTAGAATTGGAGAAATTATTCTATGCGGACACCGGACGGAGAGAACCGTTCGTATTTGGTGCGTTTTTGCAAATACTCGGTAAGAATGCATCAAATATTCAATTATGAATATTTACTGAGTATTTATTCAATTATTTAAATATCCAACTTTGGGCATTATATCTTGTCATGCTGCAGCGTTGTTAGCTTTATTGTTAAATGCAGCCCCTCTTTATGGCAAAAGCTAACAGGGCTTGAACTTATAATCATAAGGAACTGTGTTTCCCAGGTGAAGAATGTTCAGTGTTGTAATTACTGTTTTCTAATCAGTTGCTGTTACTTTTGTGTCATACATTGCAAGAAAGTTTCAAAGTGCCTTTATAGTTGCACATTTAAAGGTTTTTGGAATAGGAGAGCTTGTTAAAAGACCATAAACAAAAAGCAAGAAAATAGCTAAGGTCGGTTTTCTTTATTGACCTAGCAACTGCTCTACATTTGTCACAATTTGTCTTCTAGTCAGTTATCCTTGGAGTAAGACATTCGAATCGCATGCTTCTGGACACAAGTCGAGTTCTTTTGAAGTGGAAGGGAACTAATGCAGCCTCAGGATATACCCCTCACTGAACTCATTGTAGTCCTTAATTATATATTTAGTTGGCTGCTAGTGGATGTATACATTTCCATCCTCACCCATAAAGGAAATATCTCATTATATGCCAAATCATGAAGAGGGAAGACACATTACACAATTATTGATGACATTATTGGCCAGTTTATAAATAAATTTTCATATTTGCTTCCTTCACTTCAAGTTTTTCCAAATCTTCAGAAATTTAGAGATTTAGATGCTTCTGTTTTTTTTCCCTACTTTTGATTCTTTCCAAGCATCTTATTCCTTGATTTTCGGCTCTGTTTCTTCTGAAACTTTTGTAGAATTAGTCAAATCATAATTTGATCTGTCATCTTCAATCGTCTCTCCCCCTTTTCTCTATCAAAAGCCTCAGCTTTTAGTTCTGATTCAGGTACATCTTTAACCAAGTAAACTTCTCCAAAGCTTTCTAACCCCGCTCAACCATTCTTTACAGAAGAAAGCTCATCATCTGAAATCTTAAATGAATTCTATTTGCGAAGAAGTAGCAGTCGCCATGTAGCATCACTTGATTTTCCAATTTCCATAAAAAAATTGCATTCCCATTTAAATATATTTATGTTTCTAGTTTTCCAGTTGATTCATTTTCTGCAAACGTTGTTCCTGAATTGCATTCGTTGCTGATTTCTTCCTCAACAGGAGAAGGAAGCTACTCTGCAATGATGTCTCCTTTGATCTTCTTCATTATTCAGATAATCATGATCATGATTGTGTCTGCGATCATTATCTTCATCACTTCCTATCAAAATGAAAGAATCATGTTGCACTTGTTCAATCTTGTTGATAGAATTCACTGAAATTGTTATATTTTTTGAATCAAAACTTAAATGATGAACCCACAAAACCAGCATAAAAAACCAAGATCTTTCAGTCCTTTGGCTACGTGCAAATCACTCGTCATAAAGTACAGGAATGGAAATAGGGATGACATCGGCAAAGCTGATTCCATAATCAGCTTATGTAGACAAAAACTTTCAATGTTGTATTTGGTTTCATTGAGCATGTCCTCGTCTGTTTCCGGGGTGTTCTTAAGGCTAATTGTAATTTGTTGAGCTCTCCTGCTGCACTGTTAACCTTTGCTTGTTTTATCAAAAGCCTTACTTGCATGTACCTGGTTCCCATGACGGCTTCATACAACGCGGAGCTAAGCTTACATAGCTATTTTGGATTTCTCAGAATCATCTCTAGTAATTCCAAGTTTTAATTCCAGCTTTTTGTCTATGAGACTCTCCGTATTAGAACTGCGTAGCTTCTCATTGTTCACGTCTGTTCCTTCACTTCTTCCACTTTCTGGATCTCGGGCTTCAGAACTGTAACTGCCTTTTCTACATCTAGCACTTCTAACTTAGCTAAATATGTTGGTGATCCGATTCTTTGTGATCTGCTTTATGCCTTTCTACTTCAAGCGCCAATATTTCACCCTTCCCCTTAAGACAAATAACCTCGGATTCTGCATCATTCAGCAAAGAATGGCTCTCTTTTTATCTTTTTTGTCAAAAAAGCAAGAATAGATACTTTATTATCTATGAGAATTGAACGAGGCGAAAAGTTTAAGGGTAACTTTACTATTTAAGAAAAAACCTTTTTGGATAAAAATATCATGATATCTCACTACAAGCCAGTAGTGGGAATAGATACTTCTACCAGCAGCCACCTATAAGATATAGTTAAGGGCTAAAATTTACATGGTGGTTAACGTAAAGAGTAATTAGGGCTACATTAAAAGATCTTAGCTAAACTAAATAGAGTAACTAAAATGAGCTCAGTTGGGGGCGTATCTTGAGGTTACTTTTGAAAGTTCAAAGGGAAATTATTGTTATGGAATCAATTGATGTAGCTTAGGCATTAGATAGTAGCAAAGGGATTGGTGAGGGTGGGGTAGGAGCCATGATTAAACAACTAAGGTTTTGCTTGGGACGATTACTCTTAAAGTAGTTTTTAGTACATTTTTTGTATTAGAAAGCTGCTTTAAGAAGCAGTAAGAAAGCCGTCTTAAACGAATTCTAAGGCTTCGTTTGGGACGGCTTTTTTTCTGCTTCTTGAAGCAGCTTTCTAATACAAAAATTTTAATTGTTATGCTAAAAAGTTGCTTCACGAAGCAGTAAAAAAGCCGTCCCAAACAAGCCGTCCCAAACGAAGCCTAAGTCTTTGTTTATGTAAATGCTTATGTTTCAAGTTACAGAATAGAAACAATTCTAATAATACGTCTTAAGATACATACAAAATAATATATACTTTCTTCAGATTTCATTCTTATCAACCATTTTGCAAGTATAATTAAGCCTTGCATAGTCCCAAAGCCTTGTGTAATTCATGCTGATTAAAGTTAATTACAAAGTGTAATATAAATATGAGTTGATTTATCAACTTACCATTCAAGGCATACATTTTATTTTAAATTATTGGGTTAAATTTCAGTAAACAAAAAAATAAATTAATTCAACATTCTACAATATGTGGGCTGAAAATCATATTATTAAAATATAGAGATTGAAAGAAATGCCTAACTGAAAATTTTTTAGTACTTCAAATTATCTTAATTAACTTTTTAAGTATATGGGTTTTTAGCCCTTTATGCTTAGAAAGTAGTAGCTAATAATTTAGCCAAACATATAATAAATTATTTTTTATTTTCAGAAAGCACACAAACAGTAATTTATTCAAACAACATTATTAACTTTAGCTTCATTACATTAGATTTTAAAGACTAATTTCTCTACAATGACTTTTGAACCAGCTTTTCTTGCATCTGCTGCTGAGTCAAATAAAGCCTAATTTGGTAAAGGATTATGTAACAGTTTATTTAGAAATAGTTTATTCCTAAATGCGAAATGGTTGGACATGAAAGTTATAGCTTTTGATAACTGACTTGGGAGTAACTAAGGCTTCATTTAGATGGCTTTTTTACTGCTTCTTAAAGCAGCTTTTTAATACAAAAATTTAATTTTTATACTAGAAAACTACTTTAAGAAGCAGCAAGAAAGTCATACCAAACGAAGCCTAAGTTTGAATATGGATGGGCTTGGTTACCTTTGTGATCTTAAAATTTTGATAAAACAACAACAATTAAGGATATACGGATAATGCTGGTCCATGCATATTAGATTTCTCATGCCTTTGGACTTCAAGTCAAAGTGTGACTGGATTATGCATTTTGTTGGTGGAGATATTTTAAATATTTATCTTGTTTAAAATTAGCATTTTCCCCCCTTCCCTTTTATGAGTAAAGGATAGGAGTCTACAAAAGCAGCAAGCTGCTTAAAAACTTTAAACTTATTATTTTTGCTAATTTGATGTTAAATTTGTGCGTAATTATCATATAATATTAATCGTGATCATCATTTGTCACAATCCAACTATTTTGAGTTGGCCTTAGAAATCTTCATTCTTTCATTTGTTCCTGTTTTAAGAGTTTTTGGCAGGTTAACCTGCCTATTATTCACAAATCATTTTATGTGTTGCACTTAAAATAACCTTTATTTGTGGCCTAAATCAGCCTACCGTTCTGTAATCGTTCAACTCAGTATATATACCAATGGGATATTCATCCTTTCATCAAGTGCAGATTTCTCCTGAGGATATCAGATGGGAAGGTGAGGATCCTGGTTTCCAAAATCGAGGAGTTCGCGGGGGAGCTGGTCGAGGGGTCAAGAAGGCTCCAGTTCGTAACAATGTCATTCGATCCGGTTTAGGTAGGGGAAGAGGACCTTTGAAGCATCAGTCTAAGAAAGATCTAAGAATATCACAAAATGGAATTGGGAAAAGGGTTTCTGGTGACATTGAGATACTAAACACCGATAGCCTACTAAAAGAGGTACTAATGATTCTCTGATCACTTCACATATAGTTACAAATGTTTTTTTTTTTTTTTTTAATTTAGTCCAAATTTTCTACCTATTGCATTGTAGGTGGAGAGAATTTTCAGTGCTAGTCACTCAGATCCAGTAGAAGTTGAGAAGGCAAAGAAAGTGCTCAAGGTAAGAACTAAAATATGCAGAGTTGGGTCATGCATGATTTGTTCTAAACACTGAGAGTGTTCTGTGCAGGAGCATGAACAATCACTCATTGATGCAATCGCTAGGCTTGCTGATGCATCTGACGGAGAAAGTGGTAAATATGAATAGCCGTACCTTTGAATTTATTCTACCTGATGTCTCCTTGGCTTCAGTCAAGACAATATTTTTCTGTGTAAAATAAATTATGTCAGAAACCTCTTTTCTCAAGGTGATGGAATACTGATATAGATCATTTCTTTTTTATAGTCTACTTTGTAATCTTTTCTTTGTTGTTTCAATTTATTTTCCTTTTATAAGCAAAGACTATATAGTTACATATTCAATATGAATAGTTACTCATTAAAAAATGAACAAAATACAGTAATCATTTTGTATTTTGGCTTCTTGCGAATCTAAACAACATATAAAATGTCTATCATGTAATTTACATATTCAATTGATCTCAAACTAGATAGATGCCTTATATTAAATTATTAATATACTGCGAACCTGTGATTGAAGAAATTTCTTCTCTTCAGCGGATTGTGACCAGTCCTTCCCCTGAAAGCAGCAGAAGGTGAAGGACAAATAGACAGATTCTCATCAGGCATGAAAAAGCTGGGAGTTCAAGAGCATATTTGTTCGAGCAAAGCTTGAGAGGGATTGATTGTTCTTGTGATGGCTATGATAAGCAATGTGGCCAAGTAACCAGACAACTAGGATAAATGGAGCTACTAGGAATTGTTCATAGCATTAGTCATGAGTTTGTTTATGTTTCCATAGTTTTTAGTGGAGGCTGTTAATATGTAACATTTCTAGCCTCCTTTTGTGCGATGCTTGAAAATTATTATCTGATTTGTTAACAAATGGAAATTCTCTGGTTTTATGGTAGCAATAGATGAACCATGAATTCAGTTCAATTTCAAAACATTTTTTTTCTGGAAAGCTGCTGTTGTAATTTTGTATCATGACAATTGGGCATAGCTCAGGCTTTAGGGTTTAATACTTTTGTAATAGACTGAGTACATAACTTCCAATTTGTGGTCCGGTTCAGGATGTGCCACAGAAAAACTGAAGCCAATCTTAAAAAAGGCTTCAAAAAACGTTTTTATATGACATGCTTTGAATATCTACACTTTTAATGTAAGAGTATTTGCTGCTTTGAAAATATACTCACGTAATATAAGAGTACCTGCTACAATGTTCAACTCATAAGCCCCAAAAGAAAATCTTCAAATTGTTGTATACTAGTACAACAACAATAACGTCAAGTCTTTGTACCATTACGTGGGGTCGGCTACATGAATCTTTTTTTTTATTGTGCCATATTAAAAGTCAAATTCTCGTTTAAATCTAATAAAGAAAGATCATTTCTAATATCTACACTTGTAATGTAAGGGTATTTGCTTCTTTGAAAATATACTCACGTGATATAAGAGTACCTGCTACAATGTTCAACCCAGAAGCCCCAAAAGAAAATCTTCAAATTGTTGTATACTACTACAACAACAACAACGTCAAGCCTTTGTACCACTACGTGGGGTCGGCTACATGAATTTTTTTTTTCCATTGTGCCCTGTTAAAAGTCAAACTCTTGTTTAAATTTAATAAAGAAAGATCATTTCTAATATTTTATAATTAAATCTTTTTAAGTCTACTTCTATCTTTTTTAACATAAGTCAAATCTAATATCTCTACTTTCCTAACCGGGTCATTGGAAGGCTATCGTTTTATGCGACCAAACCATCTAAGGCGACTCTCTTCGATCTTATCTTCCACTGGCGCTACTCCAACTTTTTCACGTAAATTTTCATTTCGTATCCTATATCTAAGGATAAAGCCACTCATCCATCTTAGCATCCTCATCTTTGCAACCCTTAACTTAGTATTATGCTTCTCTTTTAATGGCCAACATTCGGCACCATAAAACATTGCAGGTCTCACCACCATCTTATAGAATTTTCTCTTTAAGTTTGAGGGGAACTTTTCTATCACAAAACAATCCCAATGCATTCCTTCACTTCAACCATCCAACTCTGCTTATTATATCCCCCATCTATTTCAGATTGTTGTATGCCATGCAAAAAAATATTTGCTATCCATTTGACAATCTAGTTGAAGCCTTGCCTGAGCTGAGGGCCCAAAAAAATTTTCAATTCAAGAGTATCACCCAAGTACCCAACTCTTAATCTAAAAAAAAATTCATTATTGAAGTAATAAGTCACTTATCATCAGCCCAGAAAGTTGAAGGATTCGGATTCTCTCGAGTCACCAAGTTGAAGTGCAATTAGCCGTATGGCCATCAATCCCACTTGGATGATCAGGATCATGCTTGAAAATCAGAATTGCTTCAAGAAAAATCATTACAATTTACAAGAACTGAATCACCTCCGAAGTTTAATAAGTTGATTAAGATAGATAACAGTACTACCTGCAATCAACTACCTCTAATACAGAGCAGAATGATCTATGCAAAAGTTTATATATACCTCCACTTCTTGTACAAATACCCAAGCAATAAAAACTGCAACAGTTTTTCAACATTTCTATTCTCTTTTTCAACTTTTTAAAGGTATTGGAGGGGGAAAATGATTCCTAGACTGCTGTTCTTTGTTTTCTAAGTGCAGCCCAATCGTAGTCTGCAATCTCTCTGCAATCGTAGTCTTTGCAAAAGTATGGAGAGAAGAAAGTTGTAGATAATTGATGCTTGGGAAAACAATCAGTAGGGTTACTAGTCCTGTTGAAAACTCTTATTGCCAATCCTGAAGCACAACTCAATAGTAGGATACATTCGAATCAGTGCAATGGAGATAAGAAAAACCCACTTTATGATTATTGTGAAAAATCTTGTAAGATAAGAGAAACATTCTACAAACTATATGGCAAATCACCTAATAGCAAATCAGCTAATACTACCGAAAAAATGCTCCCACAACATATGAAGCTAAATCGTTTCGATTCAATTAAGAGCAAATAAATCAACCTCTCAAACTCCTAAAATCTCATTCCTTAGGTTGGAGTAGCTCCAATCGTCTCCAAACTCATCTCTGCCATTGGAGCTACTCCAACCTTTTCATGTATATACTCGTTTCACATTCTATCTCTAGGAGTGAAGCCACTCATCCACCTAAGCATCCTCATCTATGCAACACTTACTTTTATGCTTGTTTTTTAATGGCCAACATTCTACGCCATAAAACATTGCATGTCTCAGCACCATCTTATAGAATTTTTCCTTAAGTTTGAGGGGTACTTTTCTATCACACAATAAGAACGATGCATTGCTCCACTTCAACAATCCAACTTGAATTCTTCTAATAATATCCCCATCTATTTCACCATCACTTTGAATAATAGACCCAAGATATCTAAAATGTGTACTCTTATTAATGACTTGATCGCCCAAAGTCACAATCCCCCCAATAGATCTATTACTACGAAAATTATACTCAATATATTCAATTTAGATCCACTCAAACAAAATGCTTTAGCTTCTAATGTTGACCTCTATAATTAAAATTTATTTTAAACTCCCTCTCTAGTCTTATCAACAAGGAGAATATCATCATCATCAATTTTAGATCTACTCAAACGAAAAACATACACCATAGTACATCCTCTTGTAAATGTCTAATAAGAACATTCATGACTAGAGCAAAAAGATATGGGCTTAAAGTAGATCATTTATGTAATCCAACTAAAATAGGAAAAATGCTTGGTAAAATCACATTGTGTTTGAACACAAGTAACATCTCCTGCATACATATCTTTAATGACTTCAATATATTAACCCTTTTCTTTTCTAAAACTTTTTAAAGCACTCTTGAAACTTTATCATATACTTTCTCTAAATCAATAAATATCATATATAGGTCCGCCTTATTCTCACCATACTCTCTATCAAACCTCTCAATAAATATATAGCTTATGTAGTAGACCTACTTGACATGAATCCAAATTGATTTTGAGAAACATCAATATCACATCGTAACCTATCAATAACTCTCTCCCATAGTTTTAAAGTATGACATGTTAACATAATTCCTCTATCATTCATGCACTCTTGTACATTATTTTTATTCTTAAAAATAGGTATCAATACACTCCACTCATCTAACATCTTTTTAGTCTTCAAAATAATATTAAAAAGTTTCGTAAGCCAAGAAATCCCTTCATCATCTATGCATTTTCACACTATAGGAATATCATAAGGTCTAATAGCTTTTCCACACTTCATTTTCTTTAAAGCCTCTCTAACTTCAGTTTTACTAATACGACGGTAAAAGTAAACATCTCTTTTTTTATTTAGGGTGCTAAGATCGCTAAAGTCAATTGTATTCCCACAATCTTCATTGAAAAATTATCAAAATATCTCATCCACCTTTATTGAATATCCTCTTTTAATAAAAACACTTTTTTATCTTCACCCTTAATACACTTTACTTGAACTAAATCCTTACTTTTCCTATCTTTTTTGCTTCGCTAACTTATACATATATTTTTTGCTCTCCTTAGTATCTAATCTATTATTTAAATTATTAAAAGCTAAATTCTTTGCATCGCATATTGCTTTCTTAGACTCCTTACGGGCCTTTTAATAAATTTTCCAATTTTCCAAACTTTTAGATCCAAACCAATTTTATAACAAAGTTTTTTTTTTTTGATATTTTCTTACACATTTTGACTCTACTATTAACTACTTTTATTAGTAGGAGCTTTTTATTTTGATACTCCAAACACATCCTTTGCAAAATTCTTAATATCATTAGCTACTTTTTTCTGTCGACCTCATTTTTGGATGAGGTCAATGATCTAAATAAAAATTCAATCTTCATGCATTAAGCATTGAACCATACTTCAAACTCTAAATCAAACTATGTACTGTGCATTGGCATAGTGCCTTGATCATTAACATACATAAATCATCATTTCACAACCATCCCTAATTGTCATTTGATAATCACCAAATAATTGTCAATGATATGATCATTATAAAACTAAAATTCCATCAATCATTGATCTTCATTGATTAATTCAAAACCAAAATCAAAATCAATCTTAAATTCATCAGTTGATTGTCCCCATTGATAATCAGCTAATCATTTGTTTAATCATTGATGATCATTCATGATTGTCAATAATTTTCATGATTGTCAATAATTTGAACATTTTTAAACCCTAAATCTTCCCAAGCCATTGTATGAATCAAACCTAAATCCAATCCAATGATTTAAACCCATTGCAAACTTAAAAACTCCAAAATTCAATGTTCAAAGCTAGCCCAAAACCCCTTTGCCAATAACCTATTTTTAGAGGATTTTTTGTTACTTCAAAACCCAACCAAATGACCTTGGATTCTTGATCTATCACTTGCATATTGATTATGTATATACCTAGATAAACTACATATATTTGAAGGCATTTCAAGACCTCTAACTCCACAAACTGAAAGCATTTTCATAAGCCGTAAAACCTTCAAATATTTACAGCTCATGTCACTACACATATCATATTATGGAAATTGACCTTAGAAGCTTCACAAATCCATTGAGCATCATCATTGACCTAAATATAATATATTGAAGCAATATTGAACCTTGATTGACCATGATTGACCATAAAACTCTAAAACCCTTAAACTTTGAAATTTTGAATTTTCCTTAAACCTCAACACGGCTCAATCAAATTTGGTCATGCAACCTTCTACAAATATGTTCAAAATATCATTTGAAATGCATTAAACCAAAACCCAAGTTATGATCAACCTTGGTTGACCAAGTCAACCTAGGTTGACCATATGAAGCCATTAAACCGTAAAACTAAATCTCATGCATTTGAACTTTGCCATTGCATGGAATCTACTCCAATATGCTCAATACATCCCTTGGAATGGTTTGAACTCAACCCTAGCCCATTGGTTGACCTAGTTGACCAAATTAACCTAGGTTGATCAAATACACCCTTAAGAGTTTTAACATGCATTTCATGCATACAGACCTTGCCAAGCCTTGGAACCACCACCATTAAAAAATACCTAGCTTATGAAAATTTATAAAAAAAGCCATAAATCATTTGTGTCTAGTATCTCTAACTTGTTTATTCCAAGAGCTACAAAAAACATTAGATAAAGCAAATTGGAAAAGATATAAATGCTCTGAAAAAGGATAACACATGGAGTATTGTTAATCTATCAAAAGAAAAATATACAATTGGATGCAAATATATATTCAAAGTAAAATACAAAGCAAATAGAAGTGTAGAAAGATACGAAGCAAGACGTATAATTAAAAGTTTCACTCAGACACAAAGTATAGACTATCAAAAGACCTTTGCTCATGTTGCCAAAATTAACTATATCATAATACTTCTAGCTCTTGCAATAAACTTGAATTGTCTATTTCATCAATTCTACGTTAAGAATGTATCTCTTAGTGGAGACTTGCAAGAAGAATTATACATGAAATTTTATCCTGGATTTGAAGGCAACGAAAGGAGAAAGTTTACATCTTAAGGAAATTTTTGTATGAACTTGAAAAGTTTCCTAGAACATAGTTTGAAAGATTTGACATTATTGTAATAGACATGATTTTCAACAAAGCCAAGCCAAGCCGACCACACCTTGTTCTTCAAGCATCCTATTGAAGGTAAAATAGCTATCCTTATTGTTTATGTTCGATATTATTCGGATTAGTAACTTGAAGAAAAGCTTGATGTTGAATTTGACATCAAAGACGTAGGAAATCTTACTTGATTACTTGGAGAAGTAAAAAAATAAAATATTGTCGCTAGAAGAAGTGCTGAAGCACAATTCCAATCCGTTGCACATGAATATTCAGAAGTGTCGTGGATTATAATTTTCCACCCCAATACCTATCAAAAATTATTGTAACAATAAAGCTACAGGTTTGATAGCAAATATCCTTGTACTAAATGACTAAACAAAATATGCAGAAGTGGACAAACACTTTATCAAAGAGAAGAATGACAGTGATGGATATGTATAATCTATACAGTCATAACAGACCAAATTGTTAACATTTGCACCAAAGGATTTTCAAAATCACAATTTGAACATTTGGTTAGCAAGCTTTCTATCAATGATATATTCATACTAGCTTGAGGGGTTTTGAAAGTTCAGTTTACAGTCACCTTTGCCTTTTACTATTTGTTCAACCTTTTGCTATAGGGATCAATTCTTTGATGTGATCCCCACACCCTAATCTCTTTCCAAATTAGCTTGCCTTTGAATCAATTAGATTTGGTTATTCAAAGCATAGGGATAAAAATCTTGATGTTGTTAGATTGCCGCTCAAGCTCCCATGGATTCATACAGCCGCCAACCCATATGGGTTGATTTATTTTATTTCCTGTTTAAAATTTATTTGATTATTTTCCTTATGAATGACCTATGTAAAAGCCTATATATACCTCGACTTCTTATGAAAACACAAGCAATAATAACTACATCAATTTTTCTACTTTTTATGGTCATTTTTTCTGGTTTTAGTATTATTATAAATGGAAATATTTGAGTGTTAGTTTTATAAATATAAAAAATTTAAATGTTATATATGTAATTACCCAAACATAGAAAAGCTCTGTATTTATGTAGAATTGGGTTCCTTGCATTCATAGCTCTGTAAAAGTGCAAATTTGCAGAATAAGGTTCCCCAGCGTTCTGTTGGGTGTTGATATAAGAAATATCATGCTGTACTTGCTAGGATGGCTGATGCCTTGCAGTACGAGCAAATATTTTACACACTCAAGTTTTTCTTTTGTTGCAATCAACGGTCATGCTTATATGGCATACTAGGTTATGTTTCTTGTTTATAGTATCACAATAAAAAATAAGGCACAGCTACCACACAAGCATGGATTTCGATGGGTTTGTGAAACATTTCACTCATTTATAATCAAGGTTTATTAGGTTCGTGAAACATTACACAAGGTCTATTAACTCATTGATAGCAGTCCTTTCAGAATCGTCTGTACCAATACAGTCCAAACAAAGCAAGTGAGCTGTACAGAAGAACCCGTGATCCTTTTCACATAGACTACCAAGATTATTACCTTCAACTATATGTTTGCTAAATTTTACACCAATTTTGCATGATCTGTTTTCTTCAAATGTCATAATTACTTTACGACAAAAGTCATAATGTGGACCTCTATAAGCTGGAAAAGGTAGTCCAGAAAAATGCATCGTATCAACATATTTTACTCTTATCACCTTCTTTGAATGTGCAATTCTTTGAAGAAGCTGTCGAGGACTCCTTTGGCAAGGAATGAAAGTTTAAACTAGATGTTCCCATAATATCAACTTCCACACTAGAATGTAGTCTTTTAGTATAAAAAGTGTCAGCTAATGTAGATTTCTGCTTAGTGAATTTGCCTGACTTCTTCTTCCTTGCAGGGATATTATCCTCTGACTTGTTAGTTCTTACATGCAGAGATACCTGACTGGATGGCGTTGCAGGAGAATCTTTAACAATTGTATGGCTTTTGGGAGACCTATATGGCGATGATTATCAACATATGTATCTTTATCCTCCCCTTGCACTTCTTCAATAGAAGAAACTGAGATGGCCACGTTTTTGCTGCTCTCTTCCTTCTTTTGTGGCAAAACTGCAATCAAATTTGATAAATAGTTATTTGTTTCAATTTTGGTTTCGTCAAATTTCAATGAGCCATTGCCAACAGTTACCACACCATGGTTTAGTACATTTGAAATTCTGAGTTCTGGAGCAATTTCAGAAAGAGAATCTTCTGGTTTGTCAAGTGACGAAACATAAATCTCAGTTGCATATGCAGAAGCAGTACCTTGGTCTTTTGGACAATGGCAGGATAGTTTCTTATTCAGGTTAACGTCCTTATCCACCTTGGAGTAAACCGCTTTTCTCTTATTAACTTCTTTGGATATGAAGACCATTTGAGAATAAGATGATTTTGATACATTAACAACATCAGTTGAGGCATAGTCAATAAATCTATTAGAATCAGGAGCAGAACCGAGCTCTTCAAATTTTGTTTGTACAATAGCAAAAGTAGGATTCTTTGACTTCCTAGATCCACTAACAACCTTCCCTCCATTTTCTTCAACATCACTGAGTTCATTTTTGGCACCATTGTTAAAGTTCTCTTCATTATAATCAAGTTTACTTGGGTTACCATCAAGTTTCAAATGTAAACTGCCATCTGAAACTATTTTAGCTTCTATTTTAGACCAGTCTTTATCATTCTCCATAGACAGTCTCTTGAAAATGAGACTGCAGTTCATTATCTTGAATAGTAGGGACTTGATTTAAAACACATGCAAGAACCAAAAGTTTTGTCCTAAAGCTCTTAGTTATCAGATTCCCTTCGACCTCTGACACTTCTAGAGAATTACCAACTAATTCGGAATCAGGTGATGCTTGTTGAGAAATAACATGCAACCCAACATGAACATCATAAGCAGCTAGGTCATTCTTCACATATTTCTCTACATTATTCTAGTTCAAAATGAACTTCTATCGATCCATTAATGTTAGACCCATCCACCTCTCCAGCCAATTCCATGAGGAATCAGGCCTCATAGGATCGCAAGTGATGCGTATAGACTTGGTCCTTGGTGTAGACTTTAAAAGCTGACGAGCATATGCATTGGAGACCAACTTCCTTATTGCATATGATGCTTTATTTAGCTTCATATCAGACTGCTTCACCTTGTCGATTTATTTATCCTCGGAAGAAACTTGTGTATCACTTATTGAACTCTCACTCTTCTTCTCCCCAATCTTTCACATCTTTAACTTTTCTCACCCTAGGATCACCACCACCCCAATAACTTCTTCCTCATCCAGTGTAGTGGTTGTCATGATCCCTCCATGTTTCTCCAGTGTATCGAGGGTGGGAATTCCACCTTTCTTCCACCCACCTTGAATAATCTGATCCCCATGGATCAGCTTGACCCCTTCCATCTTCGATCGCCCACCCTCCTTGCCCGAAATGTCTCCCATAGTGGTCGACCAACTTACCACCTTTACCACAAAATTCCCTACATGTTGAACTCCTCCCATCCGATATCCTTTCTCTTAGATTCTGCCAACGAAATCTCGGTCAAATCTTGGTTATGATTAGCAATCGGAACCGCCAGTGAAGTTTTGGATTGCATATCCATGAGCTTTCTCATTATCTCCTCCAACCCTCCAAATCGTCTCTCCATTTGATTCTAAATAGCTAAAAACCTTCCTCTTAGATGGTTGAGAACTTCTCCTTCATCCAGGATTTGATTTGCTCCACTTTGCCTTCCAACGCATTCACCTTCTTTGCTGCCATTTCTCCAAAACCTCGCTCTGATAGCAATTTGATGCGTCTTGGAAGCAAAAACAGCAAGCAGATAGGAAGAAAACTACATGAATCAAATATTAGGACTACTTTTTGGATTATATCTTCAATAGTAATGAAAGATACAAATAATTTACAATTCAAGAGGTAGATTAGCTCTCCAATAAATCCTAGACGCCATTAGGAAACTCACAACAAACACTAGAATAAACTTCAACAAAACGTAAATTTCAAAACGTAGACCAAACTCCCCCTTAAATAGCCATAACACACAATACACACAATTAAAACATTTCTAAACAACATAAGCACAATTAGAACATTCCTAAATAATTAAACCCTTCTAAACAACATAAACATAATTAGAAAACCTTCCTAAACAATTAAACCCTTCATAAATAGCATAAACATAATTAAGAAACATTCCTAAATAATTCTCCCTTTGATTAGGAATCTTCCTAAACAATTTCCCATTAATTAGGAACCTTTATAAACAACTCTCCATCGATTAAGAACCTTCCTAAATAGCTCCCCTTAATTAGGAACCTTCCTAAAGAACTCCCTCTTGATTAGAAATCTTCCTAAATAGCTTCCTCTTCGTGGCTTTGGGGCCCCCTGGCGTATCAATGATCCTTAAAGAAGGATATCATATTTTGCTGTAGTTCCAAAATAACAATCACATAGGAAGCCATCGAATCCTAGTAAAGCCTTAGTGAGAAATAAGAAGATAACAACAACCGCTAGCTACAAAAAGTACAATAACAGTAACATAATAAGTTAACAACCAATAAAAACTCCAAATTTGCCAACCCTATGTGGGGCTTTGAAAATCCTTACCCATCTATATCATATATTCAGGTGATTCTGAGCTTATTTTTAAGATAGAAAGTTGAATATTAGATAAACCACTACCCATACTTCTTACACTCTTATGAGGACTTGATGATTTAACATGAGGTTTCTTATAAGTGAAAATCCTCTAGTAAATCAACCCTCTTGATCTTAAGAGAGAACTTTTAATTAGGGCTAATTCGTAGGCTCTATTATGCTTTTTTATATAACAAAAATTTGATTGGAGAAAGAACAAATAATTTATCATAATTAGCTTTGAGCGAATAGTAGAAAATGATGGCAAACTTGTTCAATATTGTATGATTTCGTAATCTAGGATTATCATAATGATCTATTTAGTCAAAAAAAGTAGTCAACTCATCATAATTAGAGGATCATTGTTAAATACCGGGGGTTGTGTTGTCCAGGGCGAGACTAAAGTCTGTATATGAGAGAGAGATGATGGTCATTGTTTTGGCTATTCAGAATTGGCGCTCTTACCTATTGGGTATGCATTTCATTGTCCGAACAGATCAGAAAAGTTTGAAATACTTATTGGAGCAGAGGATGATGATAGAAGAGCATCAGAGGTGATTGTCCAAACTGCTAGACTATGATTTTGAGATCCACTATAGACCAAGATTGAAAAATAAGACGGCAGATGCCTTATCAAGATGTGTTAGGAAACTCTAGGAGATGGCAACTTCAGTGTCACTGATGGTAGATTTGAGGGCTATCAAGGAGGAGAGCATGCAAGATGAGGAGTTGAAAAAAATTAGGGAGGATTTGATGAAGAATACGAGTAGCTATTCGAGGTACTCACTTGAAGGGGGGAGACTCTTACATCAAGGAAGGTTTGTCATGCCACAAACCTCCACCAATATCCCCAGCTTATTACAGGAGTTCCATGATAGTGCAATTGGAGGCTATTTCGGGGTACAAAAGACTTACAGGAGACTAGCATCTGAGCTTTACTGAAAGGGGATGCATAAAGATGTTGAGGAGATGGTGGCGAGGTGTGAAGTGTGCCAGAAAAACAAATATATGACAATGGCTCCAAGAGGATTACTACAACCCTTTGCACTACCAAACAGAGTATGAGAGGAAGTCTACATGGATTTCATAGACGACCTACCACGATGAGAAGGATTCACCGTCATCATGGTGGTGGTTGAAAGACTTAGTAAGTATGGACATCCCATCCTTTTATGACATCCCTACACCGCAGTAACAGTGGCGGCAACATTCATCAGGGAAGTGGTTCGACTGCATGGGATTCCTGAATCAATTGTGTCTGATTGAGACAAAAGTTTTCCTCAATCAGTTTTGGAGGGAGTTGTTCAGGTTGCATGGCACTGTTCTTAAGAGAAGCATCGCCTATCATCTGCATATAGACGGTCAAATAGAGGAGGTGAACCGAAGCTTGAAGACTTATTTGAGGTGTTTTGTTTTTTAAAAGCCACGGATGTGGGATAAATGGTTAGCACAGGTCGAGTATTGGTACAATACCTCGTACCATTCTACATCTCAGATGACTCCTTTTAAAATACTATATGGAAGAGACCCCCCACACTTAATGCAGTTTGGGAGGGGGAGCACGCCAGTTTATTCAATTGAGCAGTACTTAGAGGAAAGGGATAAGGTATTAGAGTAATTGAAGAAACATCTGTCAATGGCACAACAAATCATGAAAAAACAGACATATATATATAGGAGGGACATACAATATAAAGTTGGGGAAAAAATATTCTTGAAACTAAGGCCCTACAGGTAGAGATCAGTTACCAATAGGAGAAACGAGAAATTTGCTCCGAGGTACTTTGGCCCCTATGGGATTTTGGACAAGATCAGAGCAGTTGCGTATCGTTTGAAGTTACCCATATCCGCCACCATACACCCAGTTTTCCACGTATCACAATTAAGAAGAGCTTTAGGGGAGAATTCAGTTTGTGCAAAGTTTCCAACTACACTGATAGATGACTTGGAAGTGATCTTAGAATCACTGGAGTTGGGGGGGAGTCAGATCCGATAAAAAGGGAAACAAAGAAGCACTTATCAGATGGAGGGACCTTCTTGATTTCGATGCCACTTAGGAGCCATATGAGAGAGTGAGGCTCCAATTTTCTTATTTTCACCTTGAGGATAAGGTGAGTCTTTGGGAGGGGAGTAATGTTAGGCCGACCCAGGAGGGACAGGCTGAACCGGTCCAACCTGCATCGGTTCTCTGTTACAGCAGGCGGCCCAGGCCAGGTGGGGGGCGGAACCAAGGGGAGGGGGACAGATACCCTAGTGGGTCCAATTGCTTAATGTAATTGTTGTTTAGGAGGGAAAGTTTGAATTAAGGGCTTTTTCGTCTTTTTGTAGGAGTCATTTGACTTTAAGTAGTCTTTTTGGTTAGGGTTTATTTTGCATTTTGAATTTGGAGAAGATTTAAGATCTTGGGTTTGTTCTTTTGGGTTCTAGGATTTGCTAGTGATTTGGAGAGTTGTTTCTTCCTCTCGAATTGAAGAAACTTGTATCTTGTATTATTTTTCTTGTTCGCGGATTGAATAGAAGAAGTTTTCATCGTGTTTTCTCTCCAATCTACTGAAATTCCTGCATCGTTTGTTTTCACCAATTATTGATAGGTTTGAGTGCGAACTCAAGCATTCCCCCTTAGGGTTACTTGCGAACTCAAATATTTCCTATCAGTGTTGTAATATACATTTACTTGTTGTAAAGTGAAATTCTACTTGCTACATGGACTTGTAAGTGTCTTATGAATACCATAAGAAATCAATACATGAATGTGATTATGTAGATGCATGCACAGAAAATATTAGAGTCAAATGGACGTTTCAATTTGAAAAGTTAAATTTCAGATTAGCAATAAGACTTTTTTGAAAAAGGTGTTACATGGGACATTTATGTTAATTCTTCGTGAAATATGATTGTGTCGATCAATCATGTTATATTATTGAGTCATATCTCACTTCCGTCGATCGAGCTCGACCAAAAGCTCGCTGGGGGTTGCAGGGAGGTAGCATGCTGAAAGAATTTCTTATATGTACAGCGTCGCGCTGCTGTGGACCCCCTCTTTGACAGAACACAATTTCGTAATGCTGTAGTTCCAGCGTCACAGGCTCACAACACTGTGAACTTAGCGCCACTGCTCTGTAAGTTCAGCGCCATGATGTTATAGACGTGTTTTGAGACAAAGGAGTCAGCATTGAGAAACTGCGGATCGGTTGAGTTAGTTTTGGAAATGATGACCATGAGTGTGAAGTGAATAAAAGACTATGAATGTGAAGATCTGTATAATTTCTCTCATTCTTCATAGATGATTTCTTTTGTGAGGTGTGGCTTTGTAGTTTTTTTCGATATTTTAGTTTATCCACGTTAAATCTTTGTGTTCTTCTCCGATGCTTCTTTTTTTCTTGTTCGTCTTGTTCTGGGTTTACTTCCCAACAATTTAGTGTAATTCCTAGAAAGTTCCAATGGATTCCATACCCATGAATAGGAATGAGAAGACAAGTTATAAGATTTTTTAAATTCCTCCAAATTACATGTACATGCAATACTAGCCTACTTTCTTCCCTTCAAAATTCTATCAAAGCTATGATAGAGGATAAGTGAAGGTTTGTAAGCTTTTCAAATTGACTTTACCGACAATACTGATATCAATAAAGTAAGACTAAAATATCATTTGCAAATTCATTACTTAAAAAATATATGCAAATAAACTAGCCGAAATATGAAAATAAACGGCTCCAAAATATATATATATATATATATATTTTTGGAAAATGCCCCAAAATAAAGTAATTAACTTCATAGTTCGTTTGCATAAGAATCCTATAAAGATTTCCTTAGAGTTGTAGAATGGTCAAATACCATCGCATCATCTCTTTGAATCTCGAAGCGTGAATTATTTTGATTGATCATTCCTACCTAAACAGTTCCTTCTAAAATTTTATCCTTCATTTCTTCACAATTTACTGCAAATTGAATGCGACCTGCATCTTCACAAATGCATTTCTTTTGCAAAAACAAACAACTTATCCCTATAGTCAGGCTACAGAACAAAAAAAAATAGCATAAACAACAAATTAGGGATATGATCTTTAACCTGGGGAAGAAAACACTAAGATAGGACAACCCCATTTGAAGATGGTGATGCCATTCTGAATTTCCTCTAATCAAATAAAGGACGGAAGGCCGGAGAAACACCGCAGGCCCTCGCGTCAAAGCTCAAATATTCCCATCTTGGCCAACGCCGCAGCAATCTTCCTCACCTCAACAAGCCCAGAATCCCGTACAAGTGGCTTACAAGCATCATCACCAGGTCGCGATCCGCGGGAGCTCGAAAGGTGGATGGGAGCCATGGACCCATGGCCATCTAATTTATTTTGGCAAATTGTCTTTGATGCTTAATAATGCTATTTGGATAAATATATTGGTTTTTGAAATTTTATTTTGCATTTAATTATTTTTAGCATGCAAATATTTCGTCAAATTATATCCTGTTTGAAATAACGATGGGAAAATTTAATCAAACAAAATAGTTTAATTTAGTTAGTTTTGACTTTTAAAGGGAAATTGACCAAATGATTGACGGCTCCTAGAAACATTAGTCTTAAACATCTAATTATCTTATATTTATATAATTATAGAGCTGAATAAGTATTAATTTAGTTTGAAGTTGGAAGTGATGAAAATCCATGCTATCAATTCCTATTATAAAAATAATAATAAATCATGCTCTTGCCTATGATAAGATGTCAATATTTATTCAACATTAGCCTCTCATTTATGTGTCGACTATGGCAAAAAGAATTTCGGTTGCAGATTATAACCATAAGAACAATATTCTTGAAGGCATAGATTAGGTGGAAACAAATGATTGAATAAAGAAGGAAAGAAAAAAAAAAATGGCAACAAACTTCCCCAATGAAACCCAATCCAATAGCATAATCGAAAAACCACCATAACCGAGTCACCAACCCACAAAGCCCACAACACAACTGCAATGCTAGCCCACCCCAACCCAACATCTAACTAAAATCCAAACAAACACACAAAGCTCCCCCAACCAACAGAGCACACCAACAAGAAGAAGGAAAAAAAAAAAAAAAAAAAAAAAAAAAAAAAAAAAAAAAAAAAAAAACAAAGAAGAGAATGGCCAAAAAGCAGCAAACAAGAAGAAAATCTATCAAAATTACTTCCTTTTCCGCCTACGATGTTTGCATCGCCAATAGAAAAGGCTTTTTGAACTATACAGTTTACCCGCAAATTAAACATCTCACAGAAATCCTCCTTAGGCCCATCCAATTCCTCCCTAACACCACAAGGTGAGGAATAAGAGTCATGAAGCCAATCAGAATTATTAACACAAGTGCCCTTCAAATTCAACCCCAATTGGGCTTTCAAAGCATCACTAGAAATATTAGAAATACGAACCTCAACAAATGACATTTCCACATTTGCAATAGGAGATAGATCCGTAACCGTAGAATCCAAAGGAGACCGTTTTTACATCACAAGACCCCAAGGACCCAACATTTAACAAACCATGAGACAAAGCATCCACATCAACCAACAAGCCAGAAGGTTTAGAAACATCCACATCACCATTAACACATGGTAGTACATAATTAACAGTCACACATGGCCACCACGAGAGACATCTAAGGGTTGGTTTAGTTTGTGACAATCCAAACTAGAATGTCCAAGGGATTTATAGTAATCACAAATGGAATCGAAACTCTCCATTTCAACCCGTTGAATGTATCCAAGATTATCATGACAAAGCCAAACACGTTAAGGATAATGCTTGGAGAGATCAAGCTCAACCAACACATTGGCAATAGAGAGTCTCGACCCAACAAAGGTAGCATTATCAATATTTAGCGATTTAACAAATAAAGAACCCAACCCATGTAGAATGTGAGGTGAAAATAAGTGCGGACAAAGATTAGGGAATGAAACCCATATTGGAATAATAGTGGATTCCACATTAACATCAAAGAGAGGCGACCATTTGGTAAATTTCATGTAGCAATTACTCACAAAATACGATCGATGGGAGAAAACACGACAGTAATCCAAGTCGTTAAACAATTTAATCAACACATTCCTAAGATTCATAAGAGTAATAGAAAAATCCCCAACCAGTTTGAGATTGAAAAAAAAAAACTTCCTAATATATTCAAGGGGTGGCCGACATGCAGGCTAGGAATTTACAATATGGAGAATACATGAATAATTCTTATCTTAGAAGATTCACAGTCTAAAAGTACCTTTAATTTAATGGTTTATGATATAATGACCTTCTAGTTTCTTTACTTCAATAATTACCTAATTTTTTGTTTCTAATATTATCCTTCTTGGATATTATTTAATCAACGCTATATCAGATTAAATATCTAATTTTTGTCTTTTTATATTAGAAAATAAATCTTAAATTTCATTGTAAAACCAAGAAAAGCAATCCTTACACTAAAAAGATTAATTTAATAAATTATTTTTATCTTCTTAATGTAATAAAAGTACATGAAGAAGAAGGATAAGGGTTTTCTTTGCTTAATAAGTTAAAAAGAAGAGGTGCATCTTGAATTTGAATATGTTCAAGGTTAACATCTATTTATTTGGAAGTATCATCAAACTCAACATAACTTACAATTACAAAATTATTGACATGGTTCACTAGTACTTTCATCATTGTGCAGCTCAACCAATACCCAATATGTGTAATTTTATTTTTCTATAATCATATCATTGGCAAAGCTTTTCAATGTAACTTTTATTATTATTATTTTTTATTTTTGAGAAAGGGACTAGCCCAAATTTTATTCAAAAAAAGGAAGAGTACAACAACCCACACAAAGCCAAAAATACACACTTACAACATAAGAGACCAATGACTCGAAATGACTAACAGCGATGACAAAATCATGACGCATAAAAGGCCACAAGAAAGCAACGGATGCTATACCCAAAAGGACTCAGTATGACAATCCTGCACCCCCTGAGTAGCGAAGAAATGACCATCCATTGGCAGCAGTAAGCCACAAAGCAACCAGTCGAAGTTTTGAAAAGGGAATAAGTAATACCACAGAAAGCATTGAGAAAACCACACTAATTACCAGGGTTGTCAACTCAAGGCCAACCCGGGGTTAAGCAGAATTGCATCATCATAGTCCTGAAACCAAAAGAAAAGCCAAACCAAGCACAGTAGGAATCACTATTTTTCTTAGATTTACTTTTAGATCTTTTTTTCCAGCACCACTTGAAACAACATGATTAGCTAATCGGCCCACCATGAAATTATACATATATTGAGGATCTTAAAAATCATTTGCATTCTCATCGATATCGACGTCAGACACATTCAACCAATTAGAATGATCCAAACATGAGTTACTCATTGACAAAGCCATATGGGCTTTCAACTCCGCATTGAACATAATCGAAATAGGAGTATCAACGAATGTTGTCGATAAAGCCAAGTTAACTAAAGGACTAATTGCATCCCTGACCACAGTCCCTTCATGAACAACCCCATTGGAAACCTCAACACCCTTAATAGCCAAAGCATCGCAAATAACATCCGGCCCCAACGGATTAGAATCTAAATCCACAACATCATCCTGACCATTATCATCAACAGAGTTTGGAGTCACACTACCTGGCTTCAATGTAACTTTTAATCAAAGAAAACAATAATAAGAAAAGGGATAATTCTTACATTTTATTTACCTAAATATTGACATAAATGTTCTTTTAAGATTGCACCTCGGTTGCCTCTAGTCTTTGACTTGCTATTAATGAAATAATAATGACAGTTTAAATAATATCATTAAATCGAGAGATATTGTAATTTAATTATTTGTAGGAGAGATAAAATTTAATAAATTAAAATAATTGAAAATAAAATTAGGTTTAGAATTGCCTATCACGATAACTCAAGCAGCTTTCTCTTTCCTCTATCTCTCCCTCTCCTCCCTCCTTTCCTTTATTCTTTTACCCGGCCATGCATCCACAATTGAGAGAGTGAAGTGACTGGGTGAGGATTTAATTAAAATGGAATGAGATATTTATATTAAAAAAAATAATATTTCGGGCCTAATTTATATGAAGCCTACTGCGCCTATTTAATTCACAAAAATCTAAATAGCTGGGCGCCCGGGCACTGCCCATCCTTGCGCCATCCCTATTCCTTCATATCCCTCTTTAATACCTATGGTTCTCTTCCAGCACCTATTTTATATAAAAAAAATTTGCTTGTTCAGTAAGAATTTTATACTCCAATTCGGATGACTAATAAGGGAAAAGCTATTATGAAATCTCAATTATGTGAAGAGATTTTGCAAAAAGAACTAAAGATGTTTATATTAGATCCTTTTTCATTTAATTTTGACCGTACTATATATATCAGAATAATAAGATTAAACATAGTTGAAAAGGAGTCGTTAGGAATTCATTTGATCAAGGTGGTTGGTGGTATGAATGAGTGTGTTTTTTATGATGTTAACCAATACTAAT